ACAGGGGTATCAGTGTCTCGACCCCATATTGCAGAGTCAACCATCAGACCCGATGTACTCCAACTCTATGACGTTGCATTTGTACAATTAGGAAGCCGACCGGCTACTCAAGTCGAAAAGATGATATCGTTAGTTAACTATCAGACCTAATGAACTCTAGGCCCTATGGTGGAGTAGTTGCATAGTTTAAAAGCTAGCTAGCTACCAAAGTTCACAAGGTGAGATCGTCAGTCCTCTAGGCGAAATGCGCAAGAGTGCCTTGTTCACATAGTCGGTTCGTATTCAGTTACCGGCAGAGCGAGTTTACCTTGGATGAGTAAAGTCAAACGTATTCTTGGGCTTCATACTGTTGTACAAGGATTGGTCGCACGCATATCCAGTGTCGCCTATCCTGACACTGTCCCGTGTCCCGTCAAACTGCTGGATCGTCATCCGAGCAATATACGTCGAATTGTTGTTGAAGACGCTGATACAGCCGGCTTGTTGACCGCTCACCGAATGGTCTACTGTCTTGGTACAAATACCACCTAAATCGATACATCAATCAACTGATTGGCTGGTATACTGGTTATGCTCATCAAAACAATAGATGTAGTAAATGACGTCACTTTGTGACACCATCTACATACATCCGTGACCATTGTGATATCGTAGAATATACAACACTTTATTCTCATTTCGAAGTAAGAGCAGAGTAGCTACGAAATCATTCGCCAGCGGTAAAATACAAAGAGTTACTCATGATTTTTGTCAGAAAATATGCATTTCACACTTCCCTTCGCAGCGGAGACTTTCCTATTTGAACATAGTGAACTACTAGAATATACACGTTGATGTATCGCCTAAGGTCACTTAAACACCTGCTCATAACTACTAGACCTTAAATCACCAGCACCTTTCCTATATCCGAAAACTTAATATGGCGCTGAGACTCGGCCTGCCACTAAGGAGAAAACGAGATATTTTGGTGTCCGTGTTTCTCCTTCGAAGAGTGGCTCAGTCGAGCGTATAAAACTCATGTAAGGCTAAGTGACTTCAACACTGCTCGGCCCAAATGACGAAAGTAGATGAGAACTAGTCTGGATAGTAATCTGCTGATGGTAATGCTGAAAAGCAGTCACTAGTTGAGCAGCGTCAAGAGCAGCTCCGTCGAGACAGGCGTTGCTGTTGGAGATCATGTCGTATCAAAGATTTGAGTGAGCAGAGAATGGTCGCTCAGCTGTCGGTTGTTTAAAGAGTATGCCTTGACTCTAGTGTTTGCGGAAAAATGGTCAAAAACAGGACCTCGATATACCAGGGAATTGAAGCAGGATTGGACTATTCAACTTTTAGAGGGAAGAATAGTACTTCGTAATCGCAGCTCCTACGAGAGAGACTGAAATCAAGTCACGAGATACGTCGCATCGATAGAATGGAGAGTGTCATTGGATAGAATTAGTTAGACAAAAAAAATCTTTCAAAGACACCATATTAGTCGATCCAGAGATATTTTTCCTCTGACATTGTTCGCTCAGTAAGAAGTGTGTTAAACAACATCTTCACTGCCATATTCTAGCATCTATATCCCACTATGAAGCTCTCGAAGACAATACTCAGCATCCTACTCTCTCGTCTTCTCGTTCTCTCCTCAAACGCTGAAAGTTTTACTTCCTCATACATGCCGGAGATGCAAGGGACACCGTTCTGAACTGTCGCTATGATATATCCATTTCGATGAGCTGGGAAATCCGAATACTTAAATGAAATGTTCATTTTAATATGCTTTTTTCTATAGTATTGACATGTTAGAAAGACAGCCCAATCTTGATCTTGGACGTTCTTCTTACGATTTCTCCTCACAATCGCCCTCCTCACTACCACCTCTTGAAAGTCATTCCCATGCTATCACTCGACAAATCACTCCATCAAACGCGTACATCCAGTCTCTTGGTAACATTTTCAGCCATTTCATACACAATGAATCTCATGTAGGACGCGAGATATCCAGCTTCCGTCAAACGACATACGGGAGTAATCAACCACTCTCTTCCTAAACATTTTTCATAGATATACTACTATTTCTATTCGTCTAGTCTCTCAAAGTATCCACATCATCAGTCACTATACCTGCCTGTCCGAGATATCCCCAAGCATCTCGTTGCACTCAGCGGCTAATCAACCCACCGTGCCATCTCCTCAGCTCAACCGCGCGCCTCGAACAAAGACAACTACATCCTCCAAACAGCCAGATATCTAGTCCTATCGCGTCCATCTTCGCTCAGGGACCAAAACACCACTCCACCTCCATGTCCCTTTCCTACGACGCCAGATATATCTTCACACAAAAGCACTAGAACAACACCTCCATATTTCCACCAAAAAAAAGCGTCAAAGCACACGCCTCCAGCACTCAAACGTTGCAAAGTCGCAGCTAGGAGACGTAAACAATGAATCAGGTAGAAACTGAACAGGTGATAGTGTACAGAGATTGGGGAGACGCGCGCGCGACACCCTTATATACACCCACCTACCCCCTCCCCCTTCCGATACCGCACCCCCCCCCAAATGTCTCCTTACGCAACTTCCCCCCCCCCTCTCTCTCTCTCTCTCTTNCTTCTTCCCCACGGGGTAAAGAAAAAAAACTCTTCCACGCCCCATATATTCTCACCCGAAAACTCCCGTCGCGCACGTGTAACGTGCATGGTGGTTTTACGTACAAAGCGCTCGTATTCGGTAAGAGCGGCAGTGTAATTATTTTGTGTGGGGTAGGGGTAAGCTGGGGTAGGGGGCGGCTTGTCAGGTGAGGGGAAGGTTTTGCGGGGAATTTTTTTCTTCTTGCTTTTTGGCGGGCAGGGATAGGGTACGTATGCGTGGAAGGTGCGGGTGTGGGGGTTCTGGAAGAGGAGGGGGGGCTTACGTGCAGGGAGGGGAAGCTAGGAGAGATGGCAGTGTACCTTTGATTTCCACAGTTTTTTTAGTGGATTGGGGCTCGTAGGCTGGGTGAACAAGAAAAAAATTGCGATGCGTGTGCATGATATCTACACATGTCGAAGAGACAAACAAAACCCGTTAAACTCTGATCAGAAAACCGCTCAATCGTCAAAATCCCAATACGCCTTATCAAGTAAACCCTGCCAGCCCTCGACAGATTCCAACCGCGGATCCTCATCATCCTTAAAATTGGCCGGCAACTCCACACTCGTGCCCGCGCACGGATACGTGCAGCGACACGGAAACTCCATTTCACCTCTTCGAATCCGAGGGGCAATCTCCTGCAATATCCTCAGCTTCATACTTTCCACCATTACCGTTTCCCCATCTCCCGCAGCGTTAAGCTTGGACTCCCAAAAGTCCACCGTGGACGTCTTGATGCACCCGCTGAAACTAATCCTCACCCCCTTAGTTGTACGTAGATTGCGTAGCACATCCCACGCCATAACAATCCAAAACTCAATCCACTTCTTCTGACAAGCATGGGGTCTCCTATCCGAACTCGCCAGCGCCCACGGACACCTCGCGACTCGATGTTTCGGACTGATGAACCGCAGGTCGAGCGTCTGAAGCCCGGTTAACAGTGCCAGCTCAGTGAGCTTCAAGGAATGCGGAGTCTTGGCATGAAGCGGATATGTGCTGCTCGGATAAATCCCGATGCACGCGAAATACTCAACCGCATCCATTTCAAGCTGAATGTGCCGCAGAAACCCTGTTTGGAGAGCAAGTTCCGGTGGGAAGTTGAGGGCGTATTGCCATATCTTGAACAGAAAGTGTTTGGGGCCCCTACCGAGACGTGAGTACAGCGAGGTGAATCGCTTGATCGACTCGCGATATGCGAACGCGCTGGATTCCCTGCAGACCTGTTTGTTGACGTACATGATGTTGAGGTTGGGGCGGGGGACGTCTGGGTCGCGGTTGCGTTCAGCGACGCTGGCGGGCCCGAAGGCCAACCCGACACCAAGGATGAAGCGTCTTGTGCCCTCCGTCACGATGTCGGGTACAACGACGGGTTCGAGGACGTGACGGTAGATTTCCTCACGCAACTCGAGAGGGAGTTTAAGGAGCTTGAAAAATCTACCAGTCTTTGTCCACCACTTTCTTTGCTCGTCGTAATGTATGGCAGAAAACTTCTTGGGCCATGTCTTTTGGAGATCAGTGCAGTAGGTGTCGCGTATCCACGATGCCGCATCACGCATGTTGCTTGCCCCGGTCCCGATCGTCATGGTCTCGACCTTCACATCTTCCTCGTCCAGAATGCTGATGGCGACTGTGCGACGCGAAGCGTCAATCGACTCAGCGAAGGTGTACCAGCCGGCATTTTCAAAGTCATGGTCTTTGTTCTTGATAGCGGCGATGTCGTATTGGCTAGCCAGTTCGACTTGAAGAAGGCTTTTTGTATCCTTGTAGCAGTGACTATATTTTCCTAGGAAAGAAAAGTCACGCTTGCGTTCATCCTTGATAAAGCCGTCGAGGATGGCGATGACGCGGTCTGGAAGTGATTGTGGTTGGCAAGGTGCCTTAGCCTTGCTTTCGCTAGTCCTTTCGGGCATAGCGCCGGTAGTTGGAATAGTTGCTTGATCCATCTTCAAGGTACTCGTGATGTTCAATCGATGATGGATTTTTGTCGCGCCAGAGTGAAGAAGTGATTTACTTTGGATATGAAAAAACCCGTTTCTTTTAATATTGCTTGCAAATGTCGATATTCACATTGTGACTGAACCAAAGTCCGCGATGCTGAGCACAAAAGACCACGCTATCCATGTCTAGACTAGCGTGGGCTGAACCAAAGGAAAGCAAGCGAAACAGAGAATTCATGATCGGAAGACCCCACCTCTCCCAATCTGAGTTTCTGATCCCTTGAGTACACGTCTTCACTGGAAATCCAATCACGACATGGTATTGGAAATTTGAATATATGATTGATTGACGATAAAACGATGTCGCTATGCTAAAGACTCATAAGTCATAACAGATGAACTGCCAAAATGGGCTTTTGGTATATATATACATGATTGTTCTTTGTGCGTTTATGCGTAGGCTGATGCCTTGCAGGTGAATGGGCTCCTGACATCACCAGAGTTGTACTGGGTGATGATGTCCTCGACAGAGGCATAAGTTCCAGCGCCCAGAACGACCATTCCAATAATGAGAACGATTGCGTTCAAGATGCTGAGGGAAATGTTCTTGGCTGAAGCGTTCCACTTGCCCTCCTTGACGAGCTGGAACCAGAAGAGGGCAGGCCAGTAAAAGGTGAAACCAGAAATGAAGAGCGAGGAGATGAGACCAAGCAGGGCGTTGAAAAATGGAATGGCCTCGGCAATGATCCATCCAATGACAGTGACGAGAGAAATAAGGCCAACCCAGACGGTCCAGCCACGGGCATCCTTGACAAAGCGGATGGGAGAGTCGGGGAAGAATCGGTCCATCATGTAGCGGCAGACGACGGTGCCGTTGATGGAGCCAGAGATGAAGATGACGGGGAGAGCAATACCAAAGGCAATGCGGGAGACCGTGGAACCGGCAGAGAGGAGGGCGGGCGACTTGACGCTCTGGCCAATGAAGGCGTAGCAGAGGGCACCAGTGAGGGTGTAGATGAAGATTTCAATCAGACCGAGGGCCCAGATGGACTTGACGTAGTCCTTGGGGGTGTGCATCTCCGACATGAAGGAGAACTGGCAGACGGCAAACGAGTAGGCGAAGATGATGTTGGTGGTAGCAAGGAAGCCCTGGTAGAATGTGGTTCCTGGCTGGGGCCAAGCGGACCAGTCGACAGCGGCAAGGCCACCAGGCGCGTTGTGAGCCTGGACACCAGTTGCAATGATGGTGATGAGAATGGCGGCAATGATGCTGACAAAGTCAATGTAACCCAAGAATGCAAAGTCGTGGAAGGTAGGAGGCAGCGCAAGGACCAAGAGGATGACGAGGGAAACGACGCTCCAGACAAGGGCGCAGGTCGCGTAGTCGCCAATAATGTTGATAAAGGCAATGGTTCCAGTAAGAGCATGGGATCCAACAAGCAGAATCAGGAAAAGGGCAAACATGACACCAGTCAGTTCCTTTCCAAAGCGGCCCCAGATGAGTGCAACAGCGTCCGAGTAGTGGTTGACATGAGGGTATCGCATCTTGACCTGGCCGACGACGTAGGAGGTGTAGATGGCAACAAGACCGAGACCAACACACATGATGGTACCGGGGACCATGCCGAGAGTAGCAAAGGCGCTGGGGATACTGAGAGAGCCGAGGGCAATAGCCTCGACAATCAGACAGACGGTGAGCTGCTTCCAACCAAGGCGATGGAACTTCTCAGATCCTTCCTGGACAGTGGCAGTCTTGTCGACGGGCATCATTAGCTCCGGGTCGCTCTTCTTGCCCTCGGACGAGAGGTCATCAAGGCGGTAGTTTGTTGGAGGAGTAGCGTAGTGAGGAGGAGGGATGGTGGTGGGCACATCGCCTGCACCGTGGGCGTGTTGTACCTCCTGCATCTTGGATAAGGATAAAGGTGTGTCCAAAAGAATGGGGGAGTAAGAGTATGGAGGAGAAAGAAGGGCGCAACCGTTGTTTTTGGCTGCGGGTGTCTGCTGACAAGCTAGTCTACCGTCTGTTTCCCAAAGGAGCAGTTGCAGTGCAGATGACCAAACGGGTAGCGGGCAGCGTCGAGTCAAGAAGGGTTGCTGCTCGGTGACGTAGTCTACGTAGTCTGAGACGAGGAGACTAGCAGTGTGCAGCAGGCGCAGTAAATGGGTGGGTGTAACAGTGAGGCGGAAGACAGGACCATCTTTATATCGGAGTTGCTTATCTCTCCGCCCGTTGTGAATGTGTAATAGAATGTTCCAAGTGGTGGCTCCCCCGCGCGCTCCCAAGATGGCGGTCGACCGAAGTTGACCGAGAGCAAGCGATGGACGAGGTTAGCGGTCGTCGGCTTAAGGCAGCGTATCGAACCAGTCCATGGTACGTGCGATTAGCAGGGAAGGATCTAGTGGCGTTGGGGACGACGAGGTTCCACATGGCGCGTCGCAGTTGACGTAAAATTTTCATATTTTTACGTGTGTGGGTGGAAATGCTGGGACGTGCTTGGGACCAAACGGCGGCACTGAACGGGGTTTGTCGGGGCCAATGCCCCAGATGGCATGCGACGAGGGAAGCAAGAGACCTGTGCATCTGGCCTTCCCCCGCGTTGTGCGGGAATAAGCTGGCGGGAGGCATTTGGGATTGCGCGATGGGGAGTGTATGACGTGCCTGCGCAGTGATGTTTTGCGGTAGGGCTGTGGTGGCTGACCTTGGGGGCGCGGACAAGCTCTGTTTACCGCACCCACCCGAGCCTCGGCGGGGCTTGTCCGCGCCCTCCGAGCAGGTACCCGGTCTAGCGAGAGCCTCTTCCGATCCTGGTCGTTGCCGCGCCGCCGCCCAGCCAAAGTCATCTGCCCTGCCCTGCCCTCTGCCCTGCACTCTGCCCTGCTCCAACCACACTAGACTAGCACTCACTTATCTGTTAAACACTACTAGTATAGAAACGAGGGTCTTGTGGAGTGCATTGCCGAGAGTCGCGCCTGCCAATCACCACATCCACCCTGTCCACCGTCTGTCTGTCCATTGCCTGCAGGAGAAAAAAAATCCCTATCTTTACCCCAGCATCCATGCATCATGCTATGGACAGGCGCGTGCCGTAGCGCTGCTATGCTATACTACATTGCAACTCTCCAGATCGCATGCAACAGAACCTTCCCACCTCCACAAACTACCCCCCCTGCCCCCCTCTCCCTGTCTCACGCGACACACGCCCCTAACATTGCGCCTTTTAACAAAACATCTCAGGGCCCATTGGCTCGCCCCAGTCCATCCGTACCGATGTACCACCTATCTACGCAGCCGTAGTCAGGAACTCATCGACGACGTGCGGGTCCTTTTCGACTTCTACCGTGCTTCTACCGCGTCTGCTCTCCCACGTCTCCTCCACATGGGCCTTGGCAGCCGTCGAGTCAGGCGTGAAGACAAACACGCGATGCTCACCTGTCCGGGCGTCAGCGTCGCTAAAGGTAACTGTGGCGGATATGCACCTACAATTTTTGTATGCAGTGCCCAGCATGGGATCTTCAACGTCCCAGTCCTCGGTCAGAAAATGCGCAAACGCCCCGTGCGTCACCACCAGCACCTGTTATCAGTCAGTCAGTCAGTCAGTCAGCCACCTGGCAAACTCTGCCCCTGTCCTGCTTGCCTGGGCTTCTGGCCGCTGGAATAGCCAGCTCCTCAAGTCTGCGGCGCGCTTGCTGATGGCCGTCTTCTCGTACGCCCAGTAGCCGTCCTGCACGTGACCCCATTAGCGCATACCCTGACGTCAGACCAGTGACATGTGCCGACCTTGGAATTCCAGCCCGGCGTTACCGCAGACGCATCAATCTTGCTGAGATCAAAATCAATCTCTCCGGCCTCGAACAAATCAGGCAGTAGTCGCTGCAAATCAGCCGCACTATCCGCCAGCCCTACGTCGCATCCAATGTTGCTGACCTCCTGCAGCGCCGGTAGCAGCACAAACGGTACTTCTGGCCGCGACAGCACCCGTCCAAAACTAAGCGCTGCCGTCTGGATTGTCCGCCGCAGTGGAGACGCAAACACTGTCTCTATCTCATCGTGGTGTTGAAACGCTGCGCTGAGGGCCCGACACTGCTCCTTGCCTTTGGCCGTTAGTACTGCATCGCGAATGCTGTAGTCGCGCTGTTGTCTGTTAGACTCGTCCAACATGATCGCCCCATCAAACATACTGTCGCATTGTGCTCTCCTTGCGCGTGGCGAACGAGATGAATCTTGGGTGCCATGGTGATGTCAGGTTCAGAGTTGCTGATTCTGCACTGTAGACTTGAACTGGGTGGGGCCGCCGCCGATTGAGTCACCGGCTGCTATCGCTCAAAGGCCGATTCGATTCGACACGGCCAGCTGGGAATATTGCCTCTCTTTGAAATCCTGCACAATCTCTGCGTCCTCTTTTGACGTCTGCCAATGTCTTTATACTTCGATGGTTGCTGCGTCAGTTGTACCCTCGACCGTTCTGTGTTTCCATGAGGAAGGTTTGCCGAGCGCCTCTGATTGACCGAAAGCGGACTAGCGCAGAGTTGTTATGAAAGGAGTGCTGATTGAGTGGCACTAACATTCCATATAGTCAACCCTCTAGACGCCGTCAATATTTTTGTTGATTCAAAATCATGACTACAGAACAAATATTGAATTCGTTCCTCTAGCTTTTCATAACGCTACAGCATTGTCGTGCTGCCATTTCTGCCATGGGACGTAGTGGAGAGACCTTAATCAGCCGTTCGCAAAAGGACGTAATAGATACAAGGTGAATTTATCGAGGCTAAGTAACTACTAATTTTGCGATTAGAGGAAATGACCGAGAAAAAACAAAGGTATAAAAGACGTACCTGCATTAAGATTCCGAGACCACTTAAGAGACTAGCCAGCTATTCGGCATCATAAATCGAGGAGGCGCACATCCATCCGTCATTCAGCTAAGACTCTGTCGATAACGAGGCGGCTGCTCGGAAAGGTTTATCCCGAAATATCAAAACGCAAAGTCGAGGCAGTTTCTTGGTTATGAGAATGCACCGTTTTGGCCAAGCTGCCACATCGGATCCGCAGAGACCCCGCAGCACTAGCGTAACAGGCTTGTCCATAACACCAAAATGTCATCGTCATCCAGAGTACCCCTAGAGTTTTCCTAAACCCTTCAATCTTACTAGCAATCACCATGGCGAATCAAGAGCCAACTGTGCTTATCATTGGTGCTGGTACTTTTGGTACATCGACTGCGTACCATCTCAGCAAACAATACAAGGATCCTTCACGCATAACTATTGTCGACCGCTGGGATACAACATCGCCTCTGGAAGAAAAACAAGCAGCAGCCATTGATACAAATCGCATCATTCGCACAGATTATGATTCGCATCTATATTGCAATCTCGCCAACGAAGCAATTCATTTCTGGTTTTGGAGCATTGCAGTCCAAGGCCATTTCCACAAGACAGGATGGATTGTACTCGATAGTAAAGAGGGAGGTTTTGGCGATGCAGTGAGGAAGACTTTTCTTGAAAGAGGAGGCGACTACACGCGTGATGTTGATCCCGGTGAATTGGAAAAATACGACATAACCAAGGGAGTCCAAACCCAGCGGCTGGGCAAAGGTTACTTCAACCCCGAGGCCGGATGGTGCGATGCCGAAAGGGCTACACAGAGCTTCACCAAAGTCGCTTTAGAACTCGGCGTCAAGCGCATAACTGGCGAAGTTCAAGAGCTCGTCCTCAACCGCGACAAATCCGGTCTTGCCGGCGCCAAGCTACGAGACGGACGCATTCTGACCGCCGACAAGATAGTCCTCGCAGCCGGAGCCTGGACCAGCACCCTCATGTCTCCTCTCGAAGACGCGCTTAAGATTCCGCACCAAGATCGCACCGAGCGCCAGGTCACAGCCGTCGGCCGCGTATCAGCATACTACACGCTCGACGATTCCGACACACAATCTCTCGTCTCGCAAGACCAACCCGTCATTGTCATCGGCGGCGAAATCGACATCATCCCGCCTTCGACTCCCAATCGTACCCTCAAAATCAATGATTTAACGTCTGAAATCGTAAACACGGTGACTACGCCCTCGGGCCACCGCATCACTGCTCCCTCGCGTAGACACCAAACCGATGTCCCCGAAAAACTAAAGCAGCAAAGTACTCGCCTCATTCATGCTTCTATGCCACAGTGGACGAAAAACCGCATCCCCAGTCGATGGCGCATATGCTATGATGCTGTAACACCGAGTGAAGATTGGCTCCTGAGTCGCCATCCGCATGCGCAACTGCAGAACTTGTACATGGCCGTTGGAGGTAGCTTTCATTCTTACAAGTACGTCCCCTCGTAAACCCCTTTGATTCTTCTTCATCTTCTTCTCAGCCAGAGATACTAACGCATAATAGATTCCTCCCCGTCGCAGGCGCATACATGCTCAACGTCCTATTCGACAAGTCCAACGGCGAGGAAAAAGACGCAGCCTGGGCGTGGAAGAGTCCAGACTGGTTAGCTAAATGCAATGGCGAGGGCAAGGAATTCGGGAGTCAGAAAGTAAAGGGGAGACAGAGGCGAGAATTGAGCGAATACGAGGATGGGGCTATGTCAAAGTTGTAATGGTTGTGTGTGTGTGGAGTTGGCATGTAAAATAAAATTACCATCATCGTATTCCCACCTTGTCGCATAAATAAACTAAAAAAAACCCCTACTTCTATTATAACTCTTTTCACTTATCTATCTCCCCCCTCCAACTATAACATACAAGTTAATCCCCCCCCCCCCCCCCCTACCAGCAATATTTTTTACTACTCCTTAACCCTAACAACCACCTTTCCAAAATGCCCCCCACTAAACAAATACCGCAACGCCTGATCGGCCTCTTGGAACCCCCACACGCGATCAACGACAGGTCTAATCTGGTTTTGCTCGTAAAACGCAAGCATGCGCTCCAACTCATCGCGCGGGCCATTCAAGATGCCCTTTAGCGTGACGTTGCGCTTGAGGCAGAGTAGGTTTGTATTTGTGCGATCAGAGGCATCATCTTGTTTGCCGGAGAGATAGCCAATGCAAGCGATTAAGCCGCCGAAGCGGACGCAGTCAAACGACTTGCGCAGCGTCTGTGCGCCACCGACTTCGATGATGATGTCTGCGCCTTGGCCGTCGGTGGCGGAGAGCACGGCGTTGTCCCAGTTGGGTTGCGCGCGATAGTTGATGGTGGTCTTGGCGCCGAGCTGCGTTGCGCGCTGCAGCTTTTCGTCAGAGGACGAGGTGACGATTGCGGCTGCGCCGGCGGCGGTGGCGATTTGGCAGGCGGAGATGCTGACGCCGCCGGTGCCCTGGCATACGACTGTTTCGTCTTTGCTGATGATGGAGCCGTTTGGGCGCATGCAGTTGAGGCTCATCCATGCCGTCATTGCGGCGATGGGAAGACATGCTGCTTCATCTGCCGAGAGGTAGTCTGGGATTTTGACCACACCGTACGTGGGGAAGACGCGGTACTGGGTTAGGACTCCTGGGGCGGGACCACCGAGGCCATTTGCGACGTCTGAGGCTTTGACTTGGCCGGATAGATGGGTTGGGGCAAAGGTGCTGATGACGCGGTCGCCTTGTTTGAGTTGAAAGGCTGGGTTCTTGAAGGGGTCATTGGTGTTGGAAGATGTTGGGCCAACCGTAACGACGACACCGCACATGTCGCTGCATGGTACAATTGCGGGTGGGTGCTCGACGGAGGAGTGATGGTTGTAGAGACCCATTGCGACTGGTTCACGTGATTAGCGTCATGGTCGTCGAGTTGTGATACATCAACACATACCCTCTGTATCTCTGTAGTTCAAGCTGACAGAGTGAATTTCCACCAGTACTTCGTCCTCGCCTGGTGTTGGGCAGTCTGCCTCTGTCATTCTCAGCTTATCGAGACCGTCCTGGCCTGTAAGCCATTGCTTGATCTTTTGCGGAGGCGTCATCTTGGCTGGTAGTAGAAACTGCGTCGAGTGCCTTTGGAATGCCAATGTTGAGATTTATGGTCGATGTCGACTTTGTCTGTTTCAAACTCTTGCTCTTCTGGTGCGAAAACAGGCCGGAAATTTCACTCAGCCAGTCTCGGCGATCTTGGGAGAAGGGTGGGGTTGGCATCACGGGCAGATCTCTCTACTTTATAACGAAGAGTCTCGATGGCGGGCTAGTATCAAGGAAATGCAGACAGTGGAGCTTGAGCAAGCGGGCAGAAAGTCGCCGAAGATGTGTGGGGAGCAGTATTATTTCTATTTGTCGTGGCCATGACGGCAAGGTGCTCAGCACAGCCATCGAGGTGTTCAGGTGCAACGTCACTGGCCGGAATCGCCCGGCAGCCGAGGTGGCAGGGCGCGGTCGGAATGCGCAAGCCGATGCGGCCCCTCAACACCATGGACGCTTATCGCAGACTATCGTGATGTGTGTAAAGGCCTTAGCATTGATCATACGTGTACCTGGATTTTTTGGAACGCCTAGTCTAGTGACAATGGCCGGAGACGAGGAGCGGTGCGCATGCCCCTGACGCAGGGCCATATCTGCCAGCGCGCTGCAGGGCCTGAAGCTGGCGCAATCTGGTTCCAACAGGATAATGACGCTGCCAGTGACGAGTACATACAGAGACAAGGCGCTATTGAACGACCCAGATTTGTTGTTCTGTTGAAACCACGGGGGCTCGTGCTGGACAGGCATGATGGTCATCGTGGCACGCGCCATTGGGCGTGGAAAGAAGCAACATCACATGACGACACCGGATACTTAATTAGTGCTTGGATATAGTCTCTCACCAGCCCGGGTATAAACTCGCACGATTCCCAGATCTCATCTCCCCAGATACGACTCCCCAGAATCCATCCACTGCAAAGACGACCACGCCCAGAGACATGATCGCCATGGACTTTCAGCACCACTACTATGCCGGCCAAGAAGCCTTCCCGCCGCCTCTCCCGAATCATCTCAGCTCAGACTACTCGCCAGCACTTTCGATAATGCAACAATTCCATGCAGACCTCGTCCGCATGGACGAAGAGCATCTCCAGCACCGCGATCAAGCTACCCCTCCGTCTGAAGTCTCGTCTCCATTTCCCGACGACGAGCCACTGCCAGACACCATCCTAGGCCGGGTACGAACCTGGTATCGCAGGCTCTCACGCCGACGGACTAGCGACGTCTCGACTTCGTGAAAAGGAAGCATGATATCGTCATGCAGGTACCAGTTCGCATGCGATCGTATGCGATGGCACTAGGCGCGATCTCGTTCCAGCTTTTGGGGCCGCCCGTCGCCGCTATTCGATACAACCCACGGTCATCCCGTCATCGATCGCAGGCGATCTAGCGTCGACGATTTGGCATTTATGCAACGTCACACCGCAGGCCGGGTGGCATGTCACTCAGCCAGGGCATAACTGGAATGCTCGTACAGTCTTGATGCGAGTATGGGTGCAGTTTAAAGTGACGTCGCCAGTCGCAGTAGCATCCAAGTCTCAGTATAGGCCCTTGTGCAACCCAGTTGTTTCTGTATGACAGCCCCAGCAGTCGACCGAGGAAGGCCCGCGGGCCGCTCCATGGATGATATCGTCATCCACTCATGGGTCTCGTAAGGTTATGTTGGACGCGCCGCAGCGGAATGGCTCTGTCTGCTCCAAAATGACTGTGGTTGGGGAGATGAGAGGTGTGTCTGGATGAATGTAGTAATAACTGTGCAAAGTCAGTCAGGTAGATTCGAGATGACGATGTGGGAAGTATAATGAATAATACCGCTATAAACATGTGCCTGATTTGCAATCATGTAGTTGGATGTGTTAGTAACGGGTTGACGCTGTTGGTCGGGAGCGGTTGTGGGGAGTTGCGGGGGAGCTGGTGTCATACCAATACCGAGGCCTGCAAGCGATAAGCTCGCCAAGGAACGATAAGCGTCAATCCATGGGACAATCAATCGTCTTGGTGATCTGCTGCCACACCCTACGCAGTACCATTGCTGCTAGAGATGATGATCTGAGCGCTGATTGCAGAGGACAATGTACATGGGAGGGTTGGGCTGTGGTCAAGCTTCATGCCGCATCCAAAGCCCTGCGAAACGCCTCATAGTAAGGCAAACGAAACCCAAGACTGAGCCAGTCGCCAGTAGCCGCCCGGGCTTCTCGAAATCAGGCAAACGGGTTCCGTCCCCTCTTTCTCAACAAAATTTCTCTTAGCGGTGCCCTGGCCATGATGGCCGCCCACCATACCTGTGTCCAGGTCATTGGAATGCGGGCCACCGAACGACAGCTGTCAAAAACCTCACCCAGCACTCCTCAGAGGGGGTACTCGCTGAGGCGCAGCGCTGCTGTCACCTTAGGATACGACGGTGGCAAGGCACGTTACACATCCAGCATGTGCATGCTTGCCAAGGCAGGACCTCGAAAGGCATAACGATGATGACCGATCAGTGATGTCTAGCGACCCCGCAAGGTCTATACCTAATCATCCTTCGCTTGCACTTGCAGAATTTTCCGGAGAACCCATAGCTCGGTCTGCCGTGTGGGCCAAGTAGCTGTAGTGTAGGCCCTTTTTTTGTTCTTGTGGCACGTCGCCAGGGGTCCGGACGCGCTGAAGGTGCGTAGCCCAAAGGGCACAAGAAAAAAAAAACGGTGCGCGCACTAACCAGGAAAGCATCAATTGACCATCATTTGCTGCGTAAGATGTCATCATTGCTCCATCGGTCGGGCCTCTTCATCGCGTGCTATCGTACGTTGTCTCCAGTAGTGTCCTTTCCCCGCATGATTGACACTCGCATTCGCACTGGGTGGACTGGCGGTATAAACTGCCCTGCACACTAGACAACGTGGCCAGCCAAATTTGTGTGCCATGGTGCGACCGCGTAAGCTCAAGGGGCCAAAAGAGATGCACCTTTGACTGGCGGGACCTGAAAACTGTGCCTGTCAGATAGACCTAGGTGTGTGAACATGTTGCTTTGACGTATGCACATGGGACGGGCGCATGCATACGAGATTGATTACGCTCTAGGCTCTCGCGTCTCGCCGTGTCTACGTACTAGCACAATGTCACGTTTCTTGCACTTCACCGGTATGGCTGCAGGTGAAAGGGTTGAAACACCATTCGACGTATGGCAAGACGGAGCTAACGTGGCCACCATTCCCTTCCTGGTCCGGGTAAAATCGCGTCTACGTGCACTCACTCATTGCGCCTTTTGTTCATGACCGTCCGCAACTGTTATCGCCTTTGGCCAAGAGGCGCCAAGGACAACAAGCCGGGGTTTCATGGTAAGTTTGTTCGAGTGACGAGAAGTGTCGCCTGGGTCTGAGGCTCTGCTCACGATGGCCCTCGAAAGCGGCCGCCGGGGTTGGGCAAGATAAAAACCTCGCGTGCACGCATTTGCGCATCTTGCATCTTGCCCCGACTGAAGTATTGCGCAAGTCAGCAAGTATCCTTGCCAACCTATTATCCTTATACCACACCGGAGCCATTGTCCTATAAAACCACTCTCCTTTGCTCCTCAACATTGCCGCTGCCACTACTACAGCGCCGTGTCTCCCTGCTTTCCACACAGCGCCGCCTCCGCCTCCACCCGCTGCCACTGCAGTGCCCTCCCCCTACTTCTCACAGTACGACTGCCACTGCACCACTACCTCCACTTGCTTTCTGCAAAACTACTGCTGCTACAGTGCAGTCTCTCTCTGCTTCCCGCCAAACGGCCGCTACTACAACGCCGTCTCCTCCCTTGCACCCACCGCACCCACCGCACCACCGCACCACAGCCCCGCCTTCATCGACCGCTTCGACCCTGCCCTGGATTACTTCACCCCCAGCGCCGAATACAAGAGGGCTACAACCTCCCGGTGCCGAGCCAACATCAACCAGCACCTCCTTACCGTACCCCACTGGTACCATACCGATACAGGCCAGTCCACTCTTCGCTACCACGAAGAAACATGTCTCACAGTGAGTCAGCTTGTCAGATCTGTTCCTCGCATGCGTAGACACAGCATGCTGTTAGCCTACGCCGCGCGTTCCAGAAACGACGCACGCAATCCATGTTCCTGACCCGTCCCGCTGATCCCCACTTTTAGCCCACCGCTCCCCCGTCAAGTACCCGTCCTGCGGCACCCGCAGCACCCTCGCTCCCATCGGCATACCAGACCACGGAGACGGCTTCGCTGTATATCTTCGCTGGATGCGTCAGCGACACTATCGAAGGCACGGCGTGATGCACCAAGCGGCCCCATCGTCTGCTGTGTGCACGCGCAGCTCTGACGATGCGCTTGACCTGCACCTCGGCGGGGACCCTGCGAACCCTCTACCGAGCCTGCAGTCCGATGCGCAGACGCTTAATACCGATTTGCTGGGAATGGGCTCGGGACTTGACGGCGTTGACGCATCGGAGCTTGGGTACCCCAGTGAGATTGACTTCATTGGGTGAGGGGCAATACAATGCAGGGCTGAAAGGGTAACAGCCAGGCAAGATTACCGACTGGCGCGGCTACTAGCCTGACAGTTACCGACGGTGGCTAAATGGGGCGTTTTAGGAACATTGCTTTGTTTTTTTATTAGAAGGACCAGGGATCTTTGGAAGCGACTCGCGTCGGGGCGTTCGCGGTTATCGCAATATTCAAGGGCCATGGCTATATGTGTAACAGTATGTTTTTGTATAATGGTTAGAGGTGTACGAATTGATGGAAATGAATAAAGAGTTGTGATGTCGATTGCTGTTATTCCACTTGTGTACCAAACTGGTTGCGTCCGAGCAACAGTTATGCAGCAGCACAAAACATGCACGGTGATGTGGTAATCCCCTC